CGAAACCAGACACTAAACGGTCAAGTTCGGAGATCCTGAGGCAGGGCGCGCGAGCCGGGATTTCCGGGAACTCCAAACGAACACAAACATGGAAGATCACCGTGTGTTCAAACAGTGACGTCCAAGTCTTGAGGACGGTCAAAAATGGGGTGTCTACAACTAGCAACCACCGACTATCGACTCCTTACTTCACTCTCACCGACGGCGAAACAGGGTTTCCTAAATTTCCCCCAAAATAAAATATTTAGGTGGCTACTCTGTATCTGGCAAAGCAGTCCATGGCACTTCTTTCAAAAAAAATCTGTTTTCTCAAAACGATTTACCGGATTTGGACTCTTTGGTTCAGACTTAGAACCGTGACAATTTGAGAGTCCTGAGCTGTAGTGACCCCAAAGGAACAGAACGGGAGCTCACCCTCCCGGGGCGTTCCGGGGACGTCTACAATAAGGTGTAGACTTTTAGAGAATGTGTAAGTTTTTATAAAATATGCAAACTTTATGAAAACATATATTCCACAAAAGGTGTAAATTTTCAAAAAATGAGTAAATTTTTTCACAAAAGATATAAGTTATTTGACAAGAGGCGTAAGTTCGGTTTTCAAAAAAGGTGTAAGTTCCCATAAAAGTTGTAAATTTAATGAAAGTTTTTTTCACAGAAGGTGTAACTTTGCAGAAAAGGTATAAGTATTTCCACCAAATAGCGTAAACTTTCGTAAAAGGTATAAGTTTTTAACAAACTTTATCAAAACATATTTTCCATAAAACGTGTAAATTTTCAAAAAAAATGTGTAATTGTCTTCTCCAAAGATGTAACTTATGTCAGAAAATGTGTAAATTTTGTTTTCAGAAAAGGTGTAACTCCTATTAAAAGGTGTAAATTTTTAAAAAATTTTTGTTTCACAAAAGGAGTACCTTTTCAGAAGAGGTGTGAGTTTTTAAAATAAGGTGTAAATTTGATGAAAACATATTTTCCATAGAATGTGTAAATTTTTAAAAAAGGTGTAAATAGATTCATAAAAGGTGTAAGTTTTGCTTTCAGAAAAGGTGCAATATCCCATAAAAAAGTGTAAATTTTATGGAAAAAGTTCTTTCACAAAATGAGTAACCATTCAGAAAAGGTGTAAGTATTCCCACAAAAAGGTGTAACCATTCAAAAAAAGTTTAAGTTTTTAACAAAAGGTATAAATTTTATGCAAATATTTTTTCCATGAAAGATGTAAATTTTCGAAAAACTTGTATATGGTTCACAAAAGATATAAGTTATGTCACAAATGGTGTAAGTTTTGTTTTCAGAAAATGTGTAAGTTCTTGACAAATTGTGTAAACTTTATGAAAACTGTGTGAGTGATTTTCTGATCACACTGCCTGTTTAGTAATCAGCTAGAGAGCACTGGCAGAATAGATGGCTTCAGCTAACCTGTAACATAAAGAGAAGGCTCCGGCGGTGGTTCTTCTACCCGGGGGCACTCTAACGATCAAGTCAGTATATCTCTCAAAGATAATCAAGTGCTAAACTCACTACTCGAAGCATAAATTGCGTACCTTAGACCCACGGGGGTGCCTCTCTTTTTATAGTTAACTCAATCCTAGTCCCACTAGAAGCCTGACTTCTAGGGACTCCAATTCTGGACTTACCTTGGACTCTTCAAGAGATAAAGATAAACTCCTTAAGAGCTTTATCCTCATCTTGACTAAGTCTCCTCTTTATTCTTGGACTCTTGTCCCCTATCCGCTTATCTCGGATTCTGATATCTTTGGAGGAAACCTCGGCCTAACCGAGATTACCTTGGCACAACTACCAGGACACGTGGTACCTCGGCTGACACGTCGGCGTCATCTTTGCCACGTGTTGGTACTCAGAAAATATATCCTCACAACTGCCCCCTAGGTTCTATTACCTCGGTATCCTAAGGTGATGGAACCTATATCGGTATTTCTTCCTGTACATCGACTCAAGAACTCCTCAGCCGAAATCATTCATTTCAGGCCGACATGTTCTCTTTAGAGAACAAGAATTCCAGTGAACTCTTTCACGTATGTGAGCTGTCACGCATCATTTACTCAACTGTTTCATTCATGCGTCTTCACCTCATTGGACCGTGCCTATGACGCACCTGCAAGCCGTTTTGCGTCTGTGTGCGCCGTCTGGCGTATGCGTTGTTCCAGGCGCATTCAATGCTCCGTTTTGCCGCCGTTTCAAATTTTTGACAAAATTTTTCCCCCTTTCTTCATTTTTCACTTTTGCATTCGATTTCTCTTGGCTTTTTCTCTCTCTAGCTCCTGAATATGCCATTATTCCAATCCTCAAGCCTTACAACTGCCTTCCGTTCTCCCTTCCTATGAAGCTTTCGTCATTCTTGTTACATCTGTAACTGTCGTCTGACTTCGGCAATCTTCATACTGGCTTCACTTTTTTCTGGTAAGCCACTGTTCCTTTCGTTTTCAATTCTGTTGATATTCTTCATTATTTGTTGCCATTATTGTTTCAAATCTTGCGAATCACATATCTGAACATATTTATTCAAATGGTTTTGATCGTGCCCATATCTTGAATACATGCTGTTCACCACTTTCTTGCACTCTTGTTACTGTTCTTGACCCTTTATTTCTCGTATTCTTTATGCTCTTGATAGCCCATCCCTGTTCTTGATTCTAAAGCACGTCTTTGCCTTTCTGTCTTCCAGATCCGTGCCTTCAACCCTTGCTTTCATAGATCTAGGTTTGGGATTTGTTGTGTAGAACACATAATTTAGGAAAAAACTGAAACTAGTACTTTATCTAGATTTTTGCCGAGGTCTTATTAACCCTCTCAAAACATTTTTTCTCTGAAATCCAACCCCTCTAATTCAGGCCGATATCATGGGTATGTGGAGACATAGGGTAGATACCCCGACCAAACTTGAGTACTTTAGGCAAGAGTTCTCTATCCCTACCGATGTTCATTTGAGGCTGGCTGGAGATAACGACTCCATCATGCCCACAGATGATTCGATGCCCTTTCCCATTGTAGCTTTCACTGAGTGCGGACTCCGTCTCCCACTCAACATCCTTTTTCGTGAGATTCTTCACTATTATAAGTTGAACCCCATGCAACTGGCAATCAATTCCTATCGAGTGATCAATGGCATCATAGCCTTAGCTAAACAAGAAAATGCTAGGATCACCCTAGTCAATATCTAATACTGCTACACCATGTGTGCCCTTGATTTGAAAGAAAAAGGCTACATTTATTACCTTAAGCCGAGGTCTACAGAATTCAAAATCGCAGCCGACCTCCCAGACTCCAACAAGGGGGCTGGAGATGACTATTTCATTACCTCGGGAAATTGGGAGTTTGCTCCAGACGAGGACATCCATGTCTACCCTCTTCCTCGATTAGTTTTAGAGGGCAAGGGTAAGAGCCCAGTATTCAGCTTTGCCTGTTTTCTTTTAAAGTCTTAAATACTTTGTCTGTTTCTGACATCTGTTCTTCTTGCAGCTGTTCGTAAGCCACCGAAAAATTTTCGCCAATCCTTTGTTCTCAGCAAGGATTTGAAGAAACTTCTAGACTTGCCAGTCCATAAAAGGAAAACGCCTGTGCTTCTCAATTTTATTCTAACATATAAGTCAATTTTGCTCGACATTCCTAAAAGGAAGAAGAAAAGCCTTTCTCCACCCTCTGCTGCAACTCCATTAACTACATCCACATCACGAACAGATCAAGGATCAACATCCGATCCAGCTGATCAGCCATCAACTTCGGCTCCATACCTGGTCCCAATATCAGAACGAAAATGTCGGCGACGACTTGTCCTTACTGTCGAGATGGGCCGCCCAAAACCAGTTGCAAAAGACCTCTTAGCCAGCCTCCCTTCTGATGTTGAAACTCAGCAACACAAACCATGTCCCCACCGAAGCCGAAAAAAGTTAAAAAGGCTCAGCCAAAGGCTAAAGTAACTCAGGTTGAATCTGAGGATACTTTACCTATTTCCAAGTTGGCTAAGAGTGACAAATCTCAACCCTCTACTGGGAAGAGGCACTCTGAAACCCAGCCATCAGAATCTCAAAAATCAAAGAAGCCGAGGTCATCCTCTACAACAACCTCGGGGTCCAAAATACCAAACATCCCCTGGGCGCCTGAAATTACTCTAGAAGATAAGCCTGTTATGGCTAGTGATAGCACCGATGATATCAATGTCGGCGTCGCCCTCAGTACTGCTCTACTTCTTCCAGGCGATCTTGACAGGAACGCCAAGATGAGCGAGTATGAGAACTATGCTTTCATGCTTCAACGTTCTGTTCAAGTAAGTGTCTTCACTTGGTAACTTGTCTTTCTTTCTACTTTTCATACTTGTAAAATTTTTCAAATAACTTTTGCCTTGTGTTTTTTCAGGCCATTCAGCATGCCCATTCTCTCTCCATGCAAGCCTTTGAAAATCGGAAGAAATTGGTCGACATGAAGAGGGAGTTTTCTGCCCTTCAAAAGGCCAATAAAAACCTTCAATCAAAAATGAAGAAGTTGGAGGATCAGGCTGAGGCTGCTATCAAAGCCCAGACTAAGGCCGAAGAGAAGGCCGATTCTGCCGAGGCCATAAGGAAGGTTGCTAAGTCCCAGAGAAAAGAGGCTGAGAAGAAAATGGCCCAGGCCGAAAAGGAGCTTCAGGAGGCCCTGGCCACCAAAGACACCGAAATCAAAGAAGCTGATGAAAAGGCGTACACTCAAGGCATGGCCGACATTACTGAGGCTTATGAACTTCAAGTGAAGCAGGCATGCCATAAGGGTTTCGTCTCTTCTGAATAAACTCAATGTCCCTGATGATTTGCCTCTAAGAAATGCCGATGATATTCCTCTTCCATTCCCTCCACCTTCTCCACCAGCTCAGTCCGATGAAGATTCAGAATCTGAAGATGAGGAAGAGGATGATGCCTTGGTGAGAAAAGCAAAGGAGGCTACTGCGTCCAAGTCCCCTCCTCAAAATGAGCAAGTCCTGGACTTAACTCAAGACGAGGAGGTTGAGGAGGTTCCCAAGGATGTGATTCCTCCAAAGGTATCATCAGATTCACTTCTTGCTGATAAGAGTGTTGATGAGACCCTTGCCCAAATTGATGCCGAGATCGCGGCGGAGAAGGCGGCTGAGGTATCTTCTCAGCAGTCCTCTGACGTCCAAACCCAGCCTACTGCCGATGTTGGGGAATCTTAGTTTTGATGTCATGTCTTTTCTTTTCTTGTCTTTTGTACTCTTGTACTTATTTGTTTCTTTAGACGATGTAAGTTTTGCATATGGCCGATGTGCCTTTTTGTGAATGTTAACTCAACTTTCTTTTTCTGAATACTTATATCTTTGTTTTCTTCTAACTGCTCTTGCATGATTCTATACTTAGAATATTTTGCATGTCTTATGTACTCTTTCTTCTTTGTGCAATCTTCTCGGGGTGACACACCTCGGTTATGCCACCTGACGATTTACCTCGGCAAGTACTTGTCCTGTAAATTGCTTACAAATTTCAATAAGGATTAACATATACTGTTTTAATTTCTATTTTGTAAGCTTTTCTTAAGTTATAACAAGTGCCCAACAATTATTTTGGTTTAGTTTCAACTTGTAAATTGCTACAAATTTCAATAAGCGTTAAGCATTATTTCGATTTAACTTCAACTTGTAAATTGCTACAAATTTACACAAGTGAAGATAAACAATAATCTCGGCTTAACTTCAACTTGTAAATTGCTACAAATTTCAACAAGTGAAGATAAACAATAATCTCGGCTTACCTTCAACTTGTAAATTGCTACAAATTTCAACAAGCGTTAAGCATTGCTTCGGTTTAACTTCAACTTGTAAATTGCTACAAATTTCAACAAGTGAAGATAAACAATAATCTCGGCTTAACTTCAACTTGTAAATTGCTACAAATTTCAACAAGTGAAGATAAACAATAATCTCGGCTTAACTTCAACTTTTAAATTGTTACAAATTTCAACAAGTGAAGATAAACAATTTTGTCTTCTTTCTACCCCCAATGTGAACCTGAGTTCCACTTGGATTCTCATTATTCATAAACAACATTATGCATCTTTTATCAATTCACAACTCTTGGAGAATTCTGCTAAGATTTTATTGATGACGTCCTAAAAAAAATAACAAGGAACATCTAATGATAAAAAAATTTCAAATTACAAGTGTTCCGGGGTCTTGGCAATGCTTTGCCCTCATTATCTTCAAGCCGGTATGCTCCATTGCCCAATACTGAAGTAATTCTGTAGGGTCCTTCCCAGTTTGGGCCAAGCTTGCCTTCTCTGGGATCCTTCTTGTTGCCAAAAACTTTTCTTAGGACTAGGTCGCCGACTTGAAAATCCCTTGGATTGACCTTCTTATTGTAAGCTCTAGCAAGCTGCTGATGGTATGCTGCGAGCTGAATTACAGCTTTCTCCATTCTTTCTTCTAAGAGATCCAGATCTCGGGCTAGAAGTATATCATTAGTCCCATTCTCTACTCCCTGGTTTCTGATCCCTGGGATGCTGATCTCCAATGGAATGACTGCTTCTGTGCCGTAAGCCATGGCAAAGGGGGTTTCCCCTGTTGATCTTCTCGGCGTTATCCGATATGCCCAGAGTACATTGGACAACTCGTCTACCCACTTTCCTTTTGCTGCCTGCAGCCTCTTCTTTATCCCATCCAAAATTACTTTGTTGGATGCTTCTACTTGCCCATTGCTTTGGGGAAAACTTGGTGTTGAAAAGTAATTCTTTATCTTGAATTTCGCACAAAAGTTTTTGATGAGTTTGCTGTCAAACTGCGTTCCGTTGTCGGCAACTATTGCTCTTGGAATGCCAAATCTGGTGATGATGTTTCTCCATATGAAGTTCTTGACGTCCACATCTCGGATTTTGGCAAGAAGTTCTGCTTCTATCCACTTCGTGCAGTAATCTGTTGCTACCAGGAAGTACTTCCTTTGCCCAGTTGCTTGGGGCAATTGCCCAACGAGATCCATGCCCCATTAGGCAAATGGCCATGGACTGGATGCAGGGTTCAGGTCAACAACTGGATGGTGTATCAAAGGTGCGAACCTTTGGCATTGTTCACACTTCTTCACGTAGACTTCTGCATCTTTTTACATGTAGGGCCACCAATACCCCTAGGTAATGGCCCTGTGAGCTAGTGATCTGCCCCCAGCATGGCTTCCACAAATCCCTTCATAAATTTCATATAGAAAATCTTCAACCTGCAAAGGGTGTACGCACTTTTAAAGCGGTCCAGTGAAGGACCTTCTGTAGAGATGTCCGTCCGCTGTTAGATTGAATCTTCCCAACTTCAATCTGACCTTGTGTGCTTCCTTATGGTCTTTTGGCAGCTTTCCCTCTTTTAGGAATGCAACAATTGCATCTATCCAGCTTGGTCCCAAGTCCACACACATTGCTTCTTGTTCTGTGATCGGTGGTTCTATGCTCGGGCCTGACAAATAGTCAATCATTATTGTCCTTATTTTTCCAGTTTGTATTGAACTTGCCAAGTTGGCCAATGCGTCGACGTGGCTGTTATCATCTCGGCTAACTTGAAGAAGTCGGCAGTTGCGAAACAAGGCTGCCAGCCTGATGACTTCCTTTGCATATACCGACATTCTCTCATCTCGAGTTGCAAACTCTCCTATTGTCTGATTCACTATAAGTTGTGAATCACAAAAAATTATTACCTCATCTGCTTCTGCTGCCACTGCCAGCTTTAGTCGTGCAATCAATGCTTCGTATTCTGCCTCATTGTTCGAGGCCTTGAACCCTAATCGAATAGACTATTCCAATATCTCCCCATCAGGAGATATTAACACTACTCCTGCCCCTGCTCCTTGTCGGTTTGAGCTCCCATCGACAAACAGGCGAAAGGAGTCGCCGATGTAAATGCTGCAGGGTCTGAGTTTTTCCTTTCTTTGTTCTTTTGCCTTTGGCTGGGCTTCTCCTTGTTTGTTTGGACATCGTTCATCTTGGCTCAATGGAGCCCGATGTTCGAAGGATTCTAGCGTGAATTCAGCCACGAAGTCGGCCAAAACTTGGCCCTTAATTGCTGTTCTCAGCCTGAACTTCAGGTCGTACTGGCCCAAGGCCACTACCCATCTTACTATTCTTCTAGTTAAGTCTCCTTGTTGTAACAAGGACTTCAGTGGGTGTTCTGTTAGCACTATAATCTTGTGTGCTTGAAAGTAATGGTTCAGCTTCTTTGAAGCCATTACTAAGGCCAGCATTAATTTCTCTAGTGGTAGGTACCTTGTTTCTGCATCGGCCAAGGTTTTGCTTACATAATAAACAACTTTTTGCTCCCCTTTTTCCTCTCGGATTAGCACTGCACTTACTCCATGTTTTGAAACTGCTAAATACAAAAACAGTTCTTCCCCAGGTTCAGGTGTTGAGAGGACTGGAGCCGTGGTTAGATATTTCTTTAGGTCGGCCAAAGCGGCTTCACATTCCTCAGTCTATAGGAAGTCCGTAGCCTTCTTCACCAGGTTGAAGAAAGGTTTACATTTGTCTGAGCTTCGGCTTATGAACTTGTTTAGGGCCGCGGCCCTTTCAGTAAGCATCTGAACCTGTTTTGCCGACATCGGGCTTTACAGCTCTAGGATGGCCTTAATTTGATCTGGGTTGGCCTCAATGCCCTTTCTTGTTACCAGGTACCCCAAAAACTTACCTGATCCAACTCCAAACGCGCACTTCAATGCGTTGAGTCAGAGCCGGTATGTTTTGAGTATATCAAAGACCTCTTTTAGGTCGGCAAGATGACCCTTAGGTTCCTTGGTCTTCACGACCATGTCATCGATGTAGACCTCTACTGTTTGGCCTATCAGGTGTTTGAACATTTTGGTTACCAACCTTTGGTAAGTTGCTCCTGCATTTTTCAACCCAAAAGGCATTACCTTGTAACAGTACAGCCCTTTCAGGGTGATAAACGCTGTTTTTTCCTCATCCGGGGGGTACATGGCTATCTGGTGGTATCCCCTGTAAGCATCCAGGAAGCTCATCCTTCCATGTCCAAATGTGGCGTCTACTAACTGGTCAATCTTGGGTAGAGGAAAGCTGTCTTTGGGACAAGCTTTGTTCAGGCTTGTAAAATCTACGCAGACCCTCCATTTACCATTCTTTTTCTTTACTACCACAGTGTTTGATAGCCATGTCGGATAATTGACTTCTCTGATGGCCCTGGCCTCCAGAAGTCTGTCTACTTCCTCTTCCACTACTTCGACGTGCATCAACGTCGGTCTTCTGGCTCGTTGTATTACTGATTTGGCTATCCTGTCAACGTTCAATTTGTGGCATGTGATCTCAGGGTCAATGCCAGGCATTTTATAAGGCATCCAAGCGAACACCTCTATGTTTACTCTCAAAAAAGTTTCCAGTTCTCTTTCTTCTTCTTCGGCTAAGCCTGAGCCAACAAGAAAGAAGCGTTCTTCATCATCCTCCTGGACGAGGACTTTCTTCGGTGCTTCTTCACTCTTCTTGGCTGGCTCCTTGCCGACATCCTCTAGGACCTTTATGTCCTCGTCTTCAATCTCTACCTTCTCCGGTTCTCGAATGTTACAAGTAGATTTCATTGCTGCCATGGAGCAATTCTTTGCCTGCAGTTGATCTCCTCTGACTTCTTCAATCCCATGCTCTGTTGGGAACAACAGTAGTTAATGCAACGTTGAGGGAACTGCCCCCATTGCATGCAACCATGGCCTTCCCAAGATGATGTTGTATGGTGAGGGCGTGTCGATCACCATGAATTATGTCTTGATCTTTTTAGTGCCGGCTTGTACTTTTAAGCTTGTTGCGCCCAGTGGCCACGTCGGCGTTCCATTAAAGCCGACCATCGGGTCATTGGATTGCTCCAAGTCATCAGGATGAAGGCCCAGCTCCTTGTAACATCTAACATGCATGATGTCGTAAGAGCTGCCTTGATCAATCAGGATGCGTTTCACTTGGCACTCCCTGACCTGGAGGGATACTACCAAGGCATCATTATGTGGATGCTGGACCATCTCTAGGTCAGCTTCAGTAAAGCCTATCGTCGGTCCCTAGCATTCTTCAGGCCGATGTCTTTTATGTCCGACCTGGTTCACGTGCTGTAGGTGTTTTACCTTCTGGGTCTCCCCTCGTCGTTTTCGTTCACCTTTGAGTGAATTACATTAACCACCCGTGGTCCTCCTGCTTGTGGTTGCTGTGCTGAGGGAGGCG